GTTGACGGATTGTGTGTAATTACTAACAATTGGCATAAACGACGGGTTAGGAAATTGTAAATGAAATTTGTTAAAGCTCAAAGGTGTTGACAACGGTACATTCGCTGACAACTTCAGGTAAGTAATGCAGTGAATTCGTTTTGTAATTGATTTTTTATATTTGTATATTTATTACATTATTTGAATAGGTGGTGTACATTTGTTTAATTTAACACTTGATTTGTATACTCATAAAATCTCCCAATGCATAGCTGTAAAAAGTCTAACTTTGTACTTATTTTCATGTGGCAAGGAACACAATTATGAGAATGGCTATCTAGTTTCGTAATTAAAAAAAAACTGTTATTAGAAAATCTGTTGATGTCCTATCAAGGGTTCTATGCAGTCTATATATGTTATTCAAGTTTCGTAGACCTTATAACCCTTGAAAGCATTTGAAAGTGTTTTGCTTCAGCTGAATTCTGAGCTGTGGCGCTCGACCGTCTAGCAAGTTAAGACTTTAATTATTATCCGGCATTCGAAGGAAGATATCCATTTTGACAAGAAAAATCGGGTAAACCTTTTAGTAAGGTTCAAAAACTGTGATTAATATTGTGACGTTTGCGTTATGCAACACCGACCGACCTCGCGGTACCGGAACACATAAAAATTGTATTGACATACCTTTTCTTGGCTCATATTGACTTGCAAAACAAAGGCGCACCTAAATTATAGCAAACCTACTTTGTTAGTCTTGTCAAACAGAATAGAAAATATCTGAAGATCCAAGGTTATGGGCATCCAGTAATTTAAAATAAACACAACTTCGTATGGAAAAATATCAGTGAAGGTATAGGAATGCAAGTCATCTCACTGGGCTCAGATAGCAAACTGGAATACCATCTGTTCCTATGCCTTGATGTATACATAGCTAAATTAAGTTTAGATTTATGGCATGATAGAACGTAAAAAGGAAAGTATATTTGCGCTATATTATATCTACAAATTAATCTACACAAGCTGTACATTATCTAGATGATGATGTAAAGATAAAATTCAAAATTCGATATTATGTGCTGCCCTAGCCCTGGTGTCCTGAACGACTGACTCGCTGTCCAATTCAATTTCTGCAAGAAAAAAGAAACGAATAGGCAGGGAGGTAGTAGCAGCTTAGGTCCTAGATTTACATGTATTTTTGGGATCAACAATTTTAATTGAACTCAGGACAATGTACTCATAGGGAGGCAAAGGTACAGCAGGTTCATATTCGCACATTCAGTAACTATGTATTTGCAAGGACTGAGTACAGATAGCGGAAGTGCATAGTTGGTCCTACAGTCGGTTTCATTATAGCTTGCTCTAGTAAAGCTTGCCTTTATCGAATTCAAAACAGATATAGCATTATTTTTCCATTTTAGAAGCTGAAAGTAATCGATAAGCCAAAAAAAAACGTTTTTCTTTTCAAACAACCGGTGAAGAAGTGCATAAATGTTGCTAGCACCTCAAACGAACGGAACGAATTAGCTAGCTGTCTCTATCTTGTTGGAAAATGTTTGCTCGCTAAAGTGGCGGTAATCATATGTGACAGTGACCCCTATAATATTCTGAGGGTGTAACGAATGGAATATGATTTATTTAAGTAATATATATTATTATACAATGAACATGTTCTGGAGAATCAATTAGTTTAATCACGTATACGGTCAACAGAACAAAATCAACTCTATTTCGCAGAGTCCGCAATTAGTTGTCGTCAACATCAGGCACTGCCAAACTTGATTGTTTTCCAAGCCTGAACTCCGAAGCCCTTAATGATGACGAATCTGTTCCAGCCTCATAGCTTATTACAAACAACTAGCCTGAAAAATAAAGTCGTTGTCAGGATGTCTGAAGCTCGTTCAGATAAGTAAAACGAGCAAAAGAAACTTTGAAACTTCAAAAAATATAGGCTATATTTCACAAAACAAATTTGACATTTGGCATTCGCTCAATCCATAACTATGCAAAGTGGTTGTGTGGTTCACTTTTAACTGCAAGGCCTGATAGTAGGGAACGGCCACTACCATTACGACTACAAACTAGTTAAGGAATCAAACAGTAAATAAGCGTGACTGTTCTATATGGGCATTGTGTTGAAACATGTAGGAGCTGTTTATATATGTATGTAATGAATTTAACGAAAACATTGTACAAACCCTTTCAATTATTCTCTTTGTTCTTTACTTGTTGCTTTTTGCCAGTGAGGCGATCAGTATCTTTTTTCCGAAGAGTTAATTCATACTTTTAAGTTATAATCGCACCTACTGCAGCAGAGTGCATTTGTAACGTTAATGATACTTTATTTTGTGTTTTACCTAGATGTCGTCTTTAAATGAAAATTATTAAGCACTAATTTAGCCACCTTCGTTCAAAAAGCTCTCATATATATATATATATATATATATATATATATATATATATATATATATATATATATATATGAAAGAAAGTAAACACGACAAAGTTATTTGTTGGCGATCTCCATGATGTTGCATTGTTAACGGGTTTGCCTCGTTAACTTAAACACAAGTGAAATGATCTCAGCTCCAAACCATGTGTAGATAGACTTCGCTTTGTGTTGAAGACAAGTCATTTGGAGCAACAGTTGACGGCAGCACCGGATGTAGAAAGGCTCAACATTTACGACTGTTTGTAACTTGAGAAACGATCTCCGTTGCTACGCATGGGACAAGGTGTATAGATATATCGTAGCTTATACGACGACGACATGATCATTATACGTAGACAAGTTAGAGACTGGTCGGCGTCCTAAGAGAGAAGAGGTGCATACAAAACGAAAATTGCCATAGCGGTAGAACAAAAGGATAGTACTATTTATTTTGTGTAAGTAATAAGCCATTTGGGTCATTCATTTTCGCTGCTGCTCACATTACTCAGTCGTGACTCCGGTGAGTTTGACGGTCGGGTGAAGCGCTTATGTAGTCTGCGATACTCAGCGCATACAGGGCCACAGAGTTCGCCCCACTCACTCGTAAATTGTAAAGCGGATACAACGATCGTCTCTCCTCTATGTCGTTCAAGGTCTACAAGCCTACCGAAGAAACGGAAAACAGAAACTGCGCACAATTATAATCACCCGTGACATTTGTAGTGATAAGTAAGTGGATTTACCCAGTGTCTTGTAAATCCGAAAGGAAGTACTATATGCGTCTATGTAATTATATTTAAATAGCACATAAAGTTTTGTGCTGGAAAATCGGACGCTTACAATTGGCATCGTTTGCCCCAGTCATGATGTAGACATTGTTGTCTCGCGCTGATTTTTTTGGTGCCGTCTAAGAAACGTGATAAATTTGCCTATGTTCGTATAAACGCATCCGGGTTCAGCGCAAGCCCATTTTCTTCTTCTCCGTTTGCCTCTGCTCTCTGTTTACATAGTCTATGATAGATGCAATAGATGATTTCGCCGTCGATTTGACTAATCCTCTATTTCGAATAAAAAAGCGTCGTTTTCTTGTTGCAAAGACCTTTCCCTAGAAGCACATGTGGACGCTCCGGGCACAACCATTAAGTCAACACACGTATGGCTGTGGCTGAATGACGTCTGGACCAAATACAGCCAGCGTCCAATCGCCCCTTCCTCATTTACTGCCTTTTCTTCCCTTCAAAGCGAACTCAATCGAATGTTGGTCAAGGGGATGGAGCTGAACGTTTCACTTAGCGCCACACTTTGCTACAGGCAATAACAACGCATCTTTGGCGATCGGCGTCTTGTATGACATTTATAGCTAGCAATGCAACGCATATAATTTTATTGTACGTATGTAAGTTCGTGTAGAAGCGTTTGTATTCAAAGCCAACGACATTAAAAAACTGTTAGACAGGGAAGAGAAAGGCAGAGGCGATAGTCGTAACGCTAGGTCGCGAAAATGACGTCCCGAAGCGGGGCCAAATCATCAACAACGAAAACACGTGAGGCAAAACCAAGTGGAGCTTATGCTGTTACTTGCAATGTAGTCCTTGTCGCTGCATAACGCATCTAAGCTATACCGAATGCACAGTACGTCGCTGTGAAGGGTGTCGCGCGTTTCTTCATTCTCGTGCATTAACTACCTCCCTGCTGAAGGCTTTCTTTATTCAATAATATCAACGCATGTAGTATACGGAGTGTATAGATAGGAATAATGGAAGGTAGACGAGAAACGAGAAAAAATTTAGAATTGTCATTGAACGATATTTCCCCCATCTCATGGAATTATGAAGCTTGGCCAGCTGACAAGCAATGCCCGAAGTCGCAGTGGTCTTGTGGTTAGCCTAGTGATCGTAAATAATCTAGAAGTGGTAAATGACCAAAGTGTTTGGATGAGGATTGTCTATGTATGCCCTATTAAATATATATTAATTGTTTCCTTATGCAGGTCTCTACAGCTGTCACGCAAATGTTACACTTGTGAAGGTATTGAAATGATGGGGATCATTACAGAGCTTTTTTTTTGATCTCGATAATAACCATCGAGGGAGCATTCATAAAACGAAATATAATGGTAATCAGTGTAATTTATAAGGTAACTTGATTGAATAGAAAGAGTTATACATAATATGTAACCCCTCTACACGTTCCATAAGAGTATTATTGGCAAACATTTTTATCTATGGGACTTGATTACATATTTACTAAACTGGTCCCGATAGTTTAAGGCAGTAGACATTATTATAAAAGTCTAACCAGTTATGCTTATCCCAACTACCTCTATTTCTTCGACGGATGCTTATGTCTTTAACTTTAGCTTTTTCAAGCGAGTACGCAGCTCCCCACTCCACATCAACATACGAGATAGGTTTTACATTGATCGTAACTAGAAAATTCACTTGCTATCGCTTATCCAACTACAATACTATTGCTAGAATGTGGGTTTTTTTTTTACCTATAGTGTTGTTGAATAGAGTTTCACCATCTTCTACCAAATAGCTTATCTAAGGAATAAAAGCATACCCAAATCTTTTTTTACCTTTTGCTAAACTCCAGCATTTTATTTGCCTCTACATATAATAATACCCTGTAACGCAGACTGTAGACATATTTCATGCGTATCTATAAATCTTCGTTGTATACGAATGAGTGACATCACGTCACTTGTGGTACGCATGCTCATGAACGTAGCAAAACGACGGCGTTGTACGCTACGAATAGTTGTAGATCATTACGAATAATCCTACAGGTTTACAGATCTACCCCTGCTTTAAAAACGAGAAAATTCAACAACAAACAGGATAACATTTTTTTTTTGTACCTTTTTTAAAAGTTACGCATAGAAACAGTGTTGTTGACGCACTTTTACCTTACAAACGGTATCATTAGGTAAGCATTTGATACCCAGCTTGAGCTTTATTCTATGTATTGCATTTCTCCTATGTGGGTTTCTTTCTGAGATTTTGGTGGCCTTTTTAAAGCCTTTCGTTTTCTGACAATTGCATAATCGAGATGGAGTCATGTTGTGGAGTGAATCTTGCTAATACATCAAAGCTATTGCCGAACTGATGTCGCAGGCCGAGCACCCACAGCAGGTACATCTGGCTAACACATATCGTTAGGAGAAGAACTAGTCCGAAACCTGTAATTAGTGCAAATCGGCCACTCGGCCTATCCGAATTCTCCCCGATGCGGTATGTCTCTGGCGAGTCGCCCATTTCAGGCATCACCATAACATCTGGAACGAAACATTCCACGTAGAAAAATGAAACAGTTAAGCATCGTTAAATTGAACTTTCCCAACCTATAGCTTTACAACGAGCACATATTTGCTACGCGTATGTTTCAGAAGTCTGCCCTAATTCAAACGCCCACATAATATAACAATCAAGCATACACCTTCCTTGAGGCCCAGGTAATGGTAAGGATCCAGCTAGATAATGCTGACCTCCTGAGTTATGCTGCTATTTGTAATTTTCTGACGGACACTTAGATTGTTTTTGTCTTCAATATTCAATCGAAACGAATATAGGCGTCCCTTGCAGTTGATAACGATCATACTAAGATGATGATAATAATCGACTTTGATAGATCCTTGTAGACACGTGGCAAAGGAAACAGCCTCTAGCCATACCAAGGAAAATAAATGACAATGCTATTCAGTAACATCAATAAGCTATTTAACTGGTCAGTCTTGCCATTCATGGAAACTAAAAGTGGGTGCAGACATGTATTCCAGCCAGAAGAAAGTTAACAGCGTGTTGGAAAACAACGTTATGATCTTTTTAGCTGATTTTTAAGCAGTATTTTGCTGACTAAGTTTATAGTATTTGCCCGATACGCATATTTACCAAACCGAGAAGATCAACTAGCTAACCACTATACAATCGAATGACGCTTTCCGCTTCTGTGTGTCGTTCGAATAGCAGAAACCGTTAGGACAACAGTCACAAGTTATCTCATGGGACATGTTTTTAAACGCAACTTGTAATAAGCAGGATTTCGGCCTATGGAAATCCATCTTAATTCTAATAGATTGATATAGTAGCTTCTAATGGGGGAGCAGTAGTCGTGTACGAAACTGCAATACAGAATTTGACCTAAAAATCGTCTGCAAGTGTCAGCTGTGGATACAATTACCGTGTAAACAAACGTAGGCTACAAATGACCCGTTCGCCATATCGAACATAGGAAAAATTGGGAAGCGATGTCTACGCTGGGTCTGGCTATATATTTACGTTTTTGTGTCGATATGGCTATACTCTCATATATACATTTGGAAACTGGAACTGTATATGCTTATTTTCTAAACATTTGGTTAATATTTCTAAATTAATAAATACTTTATGCAGGCTATCATGAGAGTAACTTAGGGCGGTAAAATTTAACTTTGCTAAGTAAGAATGGACTTGAAAATTTGGTTGCAATCCATATTGTTGACTGTACACGCTGATATTTTTCTTAAGTGCTATTCACAAGTGATTCTATTGCGGCAGCACTGATGAATTCCTTTTTTACTGAGTAAGCTATAAGCCACAGAAAACCAGAAAGTTTCCGTAACCAAGTCGCTTCCGAAACACCTGGTTCGTTAGATTCATATCTTTTTAATAATAATAATAAATTTAAGTGTAAAAAATAAGTCCTACGCAACATAAAAAGCTTTTATATATATATATATATACTACTAGAATATGATCAGTCTCAGAAAAGTCTACGAAAGCGCCTTGAAATCTATGCATTAAAGCTAGAAAATTCAAAAATATTTTTATTAACAATAAAATGGGCAAATTTAAGTGTCTCTCGTATCTCATAAACAAAAAAAAAAAAGTATAAATGTTCATCGCCCATTTTAACCGTGCAATAAGTACGAACCTGTCGAAATGGAATGATTATAATAACCCTCCAGAAGTAACGTATACTATATATAGGGCTGACACGCTTAGGAACGAATTATGACTGGTGGTGTTAACGACGATACACGCAAATTACATTGAATTAACTAATAACGTCTTGTTCAAGCAAACGCCCTCACCGAAAAAAAAGTCTTAGAAACTTTTCTGTAGATTAGGTAATATATAATAGTACAAAGCTTTTATGAAAAAAGAATGAAAACTATGGCAAAGAATCATGCTAATGGCTAATGTCATTGTTCTTAGTATCAATGTTCTCTTAAATACTAAAAAAGCTACAACTTTATATATATATATATATATATATTAAGTATTCTGATGCGAAAAGAAAGAGTTTAATGAAAATATTTTTCAACAACATTGTTTTTGTTGCATCCAGCAATATCAAGCCAATCGTACGATTGTTTCGTGATTTACATAGGTTTACCAATAGAGATTGTTCCCTGACTAACCTCTGTATTCTTGGCTTGAATTTGGGGATGGTGTGACGCATTCTGTTTCCTCGCGCAAAATGATCTCATTGCATGAACGACGGTTTTGTGCCAGCCGGTAACCTTTCCGACAGGCACAGACAGATTCCAGATTACTTAAACGGAAACAGAGCTGCTCGCATTCCTGTAGAATTAGATACAATCATACATGCGTGAACACATCGATCTGCGTCATGGCGTTCTAACAAGGTGAGCAATTCTAGTAACGTCTCACAGAAACAGACAATGTCTTCGACGCTCTCAAGGTCGAGTTGAATAGATTGGACATACGCGACAGTGAATGTAGAATACGTCAGCTTAGTCTCATTTACTGATTCGGGTGCGTCGTGCAGTGCACCCGAAGGAACATTGAGATTTTTGTTTGAATCTTAAAATCCATAAGGTTTTTTTTTGTTGCTTTACCAGCGCGAGCCTAAGCAAAGGTTTAGTTTTGCTGTGTTTCTTATTGGTTAAAAAAAAAAACAAAAAAAAAAACAGCACCAGAGCTTTTCTCTCTGGCTTACTATTCATTGCATAGCATAATTTTTGACAAATAAGTTCGGTAACTTGAATCATGAAAGATTTTTATAGCCTACCGCTGTGCATGACCAAATATAGTTGTCGTTTTGACGCAACGGATGATTTATATAGATAGCCCTCGCGCTTTGGCCCCTGAACAGAGTAGTAACGATCACAGGGTCGATTTTTCGTCGTGCGTGGATGCCTATTAGTAGATTGGATCATAACAGCATTGAAGTCGTCTTTAGTCAGCGAATTGAAGAGGCGAAAACAATCTTCGTATTATCGATGCATAACCGTATCGTGCACTTCTGCACGGTTCTGAATGAACGTATGTAACATGTAAGTGAGGGAAAACAATTGCAAGCTTTATTCATTGGCTCAACGATGAAAATGCAACTAATTGATAGCTGTCAGTATCCAGCGAAAAGTTGTATCCAGAAGACGTATAGTTCATGATGTGTTTTTCGCGCCAAATTTCCAATTCGAATGCTATAGAAGCTCTCAAGAGAAAAAGCGAGAAAATCAAAAGTAAAATTTCTCCCGCACTTACCGCCTTGACCTTTTATAACCATATAAACCCAGTCTTCGAAAACATCCATCGAAAGCACGGGTCCCGGCAAGTCGGAAGTATGGAACGTTATGTGGGTGCCGGATGAGTCGAAGCTGAACAAATGAGTGTTGGCGGCATAGAAAATAAATGGGTCGTATATCTCAGTGTTATCAATTGCTAAACACTCACTGTCAGCATTTTCTGTTTGCAAGTGCTTATAGATGCTAAATACTTTAACCAGTTGCTTTCCTTGCAAGGTCGTTTTCATCACGTAGCCTCTACCGGCCCAGAATAGCCAGCTGTTAAAAGGTTCTATGACAATGTCGCGTATAGTTCCGTCATGTGCAAATAGTTCAGCTTCAAAAAGGGGTGTCGTATAAGAGACATTCCAATACGTCAGTGTCTGATAATCGAGGACATATAAAGCAAGCGCGCGCCAGTCGTAAGCTGTCGACCTGCCAGTGTGGTTGAGCTTGGTTGTCGTGAGCTGAATGCCTTTTGCATCAAAATACATTGCAGTGAGGTTATCGCCAACGAAATAGGCCACATGTTTTGTCGTATCATAGGCAAGCCCATTAGCAGACATTCCGACCAGACCCAAGTCATCGATTGAATCGTTCTTATGGATGAGAACACCGTACACTTTGTTTGTTCTATCGTCTACAAAAATTAGCTGAGGATCGACCCCTAACACCATGCATGCGTTCTCGACGACGTCGAGATGATAGCCTGTTGGACAAACGCGCTCTTGTAGGACGCATTGAGTACTGTTTACGAGCTTATAGCCCCTCTGGCAATCGCATTTAGCTCCCTTCTCCGTCTGAATACACATGTGTGAACAATTCAGTTTAACGCATCCATCTTGCGGAATACACCGCTCGTCAACCTCTTGAAAACCTTCTTTGCAGCGGCAGGAGTAGGTTCCGGGGTGGTTCTCACAGATTTGGTCGCAGGTATCTTTATGTACGGCACATTCATCAATGTCTACGCACTCGTTCTTTTCAGCTTGGTAGCCGGTTTGACAACAAAACAAGTTGTCACTTATTTCGTAGCACAGACCGGCTTTGATACATGACTGATTAACACCTGTCACGTATTGCTCACAGGTTGTGCATACGGAATAAGGCTTATCTGGGTCGCTAATACAGGTGGGCTTAGTTTCCTTACAAACGAAATCGCGGCACCGTTCTGGTATCTGTTTTACTTGCCCAGACTTGTGGTCACTGAAGCATTGGCAAGTTTTCAGTATATATACGTGGTAAGACCGGCACTTGCCTTTATATCCGAGCAAAGATTCGCAGCTTTCTTCCCTGACATCTGTCGCGGTACGGAATCGCATAGGGCTTCTAGCTTCGCTAGAAATAATCAGCGTTCCCATCGTCAGTGCTACAAATACGCAGACAGAAGCCGTGAAAGGAAAATACTGGCTTACCATATTGGACAACACAATGTTTTTGGCTTATTCGATGAGAGGCTGTTTCTACTCCAGTTAGGAACGGACGATCGGCTTAAGCCAAAAACGAATCGAAGAACATGGACGAGAAAAAATTGGTAACCCTGTACAACCGTCTTGATCTGCTAGCTGCGGCGCAATGAGTCGTCGACACTTGTAGAATGGCACAAAATTAACCGGTTGCAGCGTTCAGCAGTAGTAGAATTCTATTGAGAATCAAGGGGAAGTAAACGATTGGAGATGCTGATAACAGCTTAGAGGTAAAGATCATTTGATGTGGACTAGTCAGCGCGGAGTTTTAAGGATAATTATAACGATACAAAGCGTAGGCCTTCGACGAGCTGCTAAAAAGCGATACGATGAACGGGCCTATGAAGTAATTCCAACTAAATCGAGGGCATAAACTGGCATGGACAACTTGAAATAAATAAAACGTCACACGAATAAATAGTCCTCACAATTTTTTAAGCCCGTCAACGCACAATATAATAATATGAGAAATTTTAGTAGATCTTTTTCTTAATGAAGCGCTCATCAAATGCTGTTTTATCAGCTTGGTTTATTCTTCCCCTATATCAACTCTACTGGCTAAGGACAAGGAAGTTAGTCTATTCTAATTCAAACAATAATGAAATCTAGGTTCATTGTGATTGCCACGCTAAACATTCTTCAATCTGCTATTGTTATTGAGCAAAAGCTTTGCGTCAACTGAAAACTGTTACGTTTGTGGACATGATGAGGCCTTACGGTATGGACTTGTCAGTCCTAGTCATTCGGAAAGCGCTTATTGAGGGGTGTCCTTTTGTTACAAGACAATTCCCCACTAACCAAATCAAGCGATATATAATAACAAGACAATATATTTACGCTGTCTAGAGCTAAAAAAAAATTATTTTAAAATAATAGAAATTAAAAAAGTTGGCTCTTTATACATAACGAAAATGAACTTCCAAGTTGAGGCGAAAGGTACACGTTTGAGGCTTTCACAATTCAGTGACTCTTATAGGCAAATAATCGACCAGCAAATGATCCTGCACCCCGCAGCTGGCAGCGTTTCTCAACGAGGACGTCAGTCAAAAAATCAATTTTTAAGCTGGCAGTTTTGCTTATTTGAATGACACCTTTACACATACTTCCTGATATGACCCCTTAATAATATCATAAACTTTTCGCACATCTTCCGCTATTTCTGTGTAGAAGCTTTAGGAAATTAATTATATGTGTTATTGTAAACCTGTGGTTTCATTGATAAACAGTATACTGACTATAGTTGAAGACACTGCTTCCACGTCAACTGTTTAATGTCAAAATTACCTTAAAGCGATGGCAAACCGAAGACTTCGTAACTAGAATCTGCGATTAGCTATACGACAGCTTTATATGTCTCCCATGGATCGAATGGTACGAAAACTTCATTTATGCATTAAATGAGAACAGGTGGCCGTGGTTAAGGTATGTCTTGTCGAAGAATCGTCAGAGATATATATGGAGGTCTGTAGTACATGTAAAGCAATTGTTCCATAAATGCCAGACAAAGCTGTTAACGCAGTTGTCTTGTAGGATAACTTACTAATATTAGAGAAAAAATTATCTATATTATAGAAATAACGCTTGCCTTAGGAGATCGCTGCGAGTTAGTCTAAGGTGGCTCAACTTAGGGTATTCTCGCACTTCATCAGCAATAGAAAATTTTATTTCAACTAAGAAGGCCGCGCTACACGGGCCATGATATGCTCAGCAGTAGCAGGACGATTCGAAAGAAATCTTCAGTTCGACAAAGAGTATCGGAAATCCGTTCAGGCCAGGCCCTTTTGCGTAGCCCGGCCTTTTAAATGAACTTTTCTCTATTTAGACGATTTAGATGTTTCTACATGGTCGACAGGAGAGGTGTGAAAGGGGCAAAAAGGCCCTCGGGGCGGGTATAGTTGAACACATGGAGAGGGACGATGTATACGTGGAGAGAAACAACCGAGTTTCGTTTCCTTCAGTAACTTGCTAATGGAAACGCTTTCGACAACTATATCAAACGATGAAACTGAAGTACACTAGCAAATTACAATATTTACTTTCAAATACTGGATTTTTGCGTTATTATGATTAATAATTATAATATAATATTATAATGATCTATTATGAGTAATTGTGTGCAGCTGTGATTACTCGGCACAAGGTGTCTACAATGGCTTCGCCTGGAGCAAGCTCATTTGTTTTCTGTTGATTTTTCTCGTTTAATACAAACGCGTATATTAGATTGTACTTACAGGATGCGGACGAATCATTTGTTCCGAGTTTCTGCTGAGTTTATTGCGAATCCTAAACCTGTTTCATAAATTTCCTGCTTTCAAAGAAACTGTCGTTTCCTCAAATAATTTTAGACGTTATTTTGAACCACATCTAACTATTGCTGTTTCGAAACGTACTCACCACCGCTGTACTCGATAACTATTCCTATATATATCTATAGTAATGCGTATCGAAATGTCTATCAGTGTAATTTTTTTACGACGAAAACAATCGTTCTTACAAATTTATTCTTTTTCATCATAATGATGAAATCATACAATGAAATATAATGGTTTATGTGAGTTTACTAAAAACGTTTGACGGAATTATTTCGAATGCTTTTTAAAACTCCGAAATTTCAACAATACTACTTATTTATGAGAACTTGTTGAGAATTTAGTGTCGCGGTACTTTCGTATTTTTTTATAGCATGGAAATGGACGAGCATGGTCAAAAACGCTAAAGAAAAAAACTTAAATAATCGGAGAGACGCAAATTTAAAAAAAAAACAAAACTAAAATCCTTTTGTCCATTTTTTAATTCAGTTTATTAAAGTTCTCTAAATATAAAAAAGGTCATTACAAAAATAAGGACTTGATATCTTTTTATGTCTTTTAGATACTTAGCCATTTATTTTTGAGCCCTAAACATTTTAATTAAAATGAAATATGTTTAGCATTTTTTAATGAAAACGTATTTCTTTCATTACTCGATTAGAATGTAAATTTTTTGCTTCTACCTAATGTCGTAGTGTACCTGATGGACTTTTTATTATAGAAATTAGACAATCTTCCTTTAAAGCTATTAAATGACGTTCTATTCTGAAGATGCGTCGGAAATTTCCTGGCAATTCACGCTCCTTCGCTTTTTCGCTGAGATCTATCTGGAGCTATTTTAAAAAAGCCGACTAAATAATACTCATATAAAATCGATTTGTTAATCTTGCGAACTTCTTAACATATACTCTTATTATATATAATAGGAGTGGCCCTTTCGTGACATTGTATATATAGTACGTAGACAATCGCCTAGTTACATATAAAATAGATATATACACGCTAGGTTAATACGCCCATTTACAAAATATATAAAATTGGTCTAATATTGGATAATTTACTATCTACACGAACATGGAAGCTTTATAGCGAATGCGCACTAAACGATACGCGAATTGTACGTAGGTTTCATCGATACCTATAGCTGAGTCCTGGCAGCTTTCGGTTCTATCATTTCAAATTTCATTCAGAACGAAAATACTGAGAAGCAAATACGATACTTAAAAGTAATCTATTCTTAAAGGCAAATATCGCTTCTGAACTTCCCGGTTGTCTTATGTTACTTCCGCTAATTTACCTACGCAGCTAAATTCGTGCCACTTAAGGAAATGCCATGGAAAGGCCTTTTGTCGTTCTACCAGATATGAGTCGTCCTTGCCGCCGTCCTCATTTTCTGTTTAGGCCTTAAAAAACTGCATTCCCAGTGATTGTGATATTTTCGGATTCTATTTTTTCTTACGAACGATAAATCGCGCATGCATATCACTGGCCGCACCTCTACATCGTTTTCCAATATATAGACGCATCGGTGTCCTCGGTTGGATACGAGACTTATGTAAGCTAGATCGACATTTGCATTATACCGCATACGATCTTACAAGGCGCACCAAACTCTATTCAGCTATGGGCTTCTCATTTGCATGGCATGTGCTCGTCCAGGCAGGATGCGTAGCACGCACGCACGCAGTAATGACCAATCGAGTGCCCACTTGGGCCAGTAGTTCTCTATTGTTACTGTTTTTTGGAAGCTATTAAGCTGTCCTCATTGAGTGTAGATTATCAGGGACACTCAACAGTGGCGTACCTCACCCGACCTGCGTGGACGTAATGTGAACATCTGTCGTTGCGTCTTGAATAGGTACCTCCATAAAGCTCAAACAACACCGCACTCCGCTTGTAAATATTCGATACGTTTCTTTTGTCGGGCCACAACAACGAGGCAAGTCTGATTAAATTATCTTTGTTTTGACTAAATAAATATTTAATGTGCAAGTATTTACATGCTTTGATAATATTCAGTTGTGACCATGCTGTTGTAGAGGGTCTTCGACAAGTATCTATACAGGTTACAAACGTATTTCGGTTAGGTTTTTGTGTTCGCACATCAGCAGCCTATGCTAATACAGAACGCTTGTATTTACCAATATAATGCTTGATTTCTGTATATCAGTTACAGTCAGATTCCATATGATAGGCCGTCGTAGCACGTGCCGCTCGTTTTGTCCCGATGCTCATGATCATGTCGATCAGATCGTACGAACGATTTAGACTGTGTGCTGATGTACAATATTCTTGAAAACCGTTCACCCAAAGCACCCATAAGTATCTAGCATGCATGGTGCTATCTCTCATCATCATGGAATATCTCCATCCTCTCTATTCGTATGTACCTAGCACCGCTCATTGAAGCGCCTGCGCAATACGTGCTCTATTAGTGATAAGATTTTATATTTGAAGGATGAACGGTTGATTCGTCGAGGAACTTAATATTTCTTGCAAGCACTTAATGGCCTAAAGGCTTAACAGACTATAATGAAATAATTTACCACATTACAAGTCATGCAGCGTAAAGGACTGCAAGTCATTAGATGTATGGGCAGGCAGGCTATATGAAGCGGTCCTTAACGGAGAAATTTAGTATGCATCAATACACAGCGCTCAGGATTGAAAAATAATCAAGCCCATAAATGGCTCCGAATATTGCGCAACAGGTTTTTCTAATTAAACTGTTTGATGGTCAAAATTAGAACTAAATTACACTGCGACTTCTGTGAGACTGGGCAAGCCCCGAGACCCCGTTTAAATAGTTCGAGCGCATGCTGTGCAGATGTCATGCTGTAATTTTCGATATTTTTTTTCCGTTATTTTCAATGAGAATGACACCGATGCTGCGCTTCTTCACTATTGGCCATCAAAGCTGATAGGCGTTATGATCAAATGTGAAACAAATAGCCAGGGCCAATGGTATCTTATGGCAAACAGCAGATAGACCAGTAATCAATTTTGAATATAAATAATACAGCAGTTTTTGTGTCCTGCATCGAAAATGTCGCCGCCTCAATAGCAAAATCAATAATAATTGCTTTAAAGCTAAAATTCTGAGGTCTTGAAGAACGAAGCTGACCACGGGAAGAGGCTTCACGTGTATTGCGTTATTTTTTGTCGTTATGGCTATGTCTTCTCGGAATCGATTCCATTGCGATTAGCACCGGATACACTCTTAGATCTGTCAGAAAGTAACTTTGGTAATCTTTAACTTTTTCCACTTGCCCAATGTAATTGACCATTTAATTTAAAATTAACTGCCCTCTTTTTTAGCGACAATTGTATAGAAGGTTAAAAGCTAATCAATAGTCGTTCGGACAGGGTTCTCTTAAATTTGTTTGAACGTCTCGAAACCGTAAATCATCACTTGAAGTACAAACCATGGTCCAATGATAATGTGGATAAGTTGCGAACTCCATTACTGGAAAATTCGGCTCGGTCATCTGAAGAACTTCTTGCGCAGATGAAAGTCACTCACATCAAGGTCGATAGCCGCGTGCATGCATTAAAGACTGTAAAGCTGGCCCCACATGAACTAAGTGAAAGTGCTTTAGCTAACCGCTAGACCATCATGCATACCATTGCTCGCACGGTAAGCAAGGAACTCATTTATTAGCGAAGTTGGCTTCGGAAATCCGAAAAAGATCTTTTACAACCAGCCCTATGACCAAGAAGGAGAGCTAAGTTTCGGATGAACCTCAACATGAACAGCTCAAAGGATTGGGCGACGCAAAAGTTTTTCTGTCTCTACCGAATTAGTCGGATCTCTGCCTGGAGCCCCTGACAACTTCCGACTCTTTAAGCATTATTCCGGAAGTCGTGAGCTGCACGCACTCGACTTCGTAGTCACGCAACCTTCTTTTGTGCGTCTCTTTATTAGCATTGCCGGCATACTGGTAATGTTTTGTTCCTCGGAGAAGATATTGTCTCTCTCTTCCGTTCGTGATCAGTTGTTTCAGGCCATGACCGTCATCTTCAATTTAAATTCACGTTTTGTGTACGAAATCATCACTGTAAAGAATTTTTCGTTTAGAGAAGTCTTCTGTAAAATCTTCTTACGGGCATATATAGATTTGGATATATAATACATATAAAATGGAGTTTCTACCATGTAATAGAGGTTCTAGCCATCACCGGGATTGGGTAGGGCCTAACAGGAACGCTCTATAATGACAAATGCAAAGAACGCCTAGACTGAACTCGTCAAACTGAATCAACAAATTGACAATACGAAAACCCTACTAACTTAAAAAACGCCTGACGTGATCTCTTTTTTTATGACAACACTTGATGACTCCATAAAGCTTTGGCAACCAACAAGGAACGGAAACTTTCATTGGATTCATATTTTATTAACACGGCTTGGAAAATAGACGGTTCAAGCCAAGAAGCAAAAATCCAAAAATGAATTTATCGATGGCTTGCTTCCATAGATGCTTTCTTCTTTAACCGACGAACCTAAACGGTAGAAGACAGCCACGAAAAATCGCGTTAATTTCTTTACTAGGCGGGGTTACTCTGTTCGAAAACCTTCTTTGCTTAAAGTAAGCTGAAAAATGAAATTACCCTCTCACCAGTTCAATGCAGACACAGTTATATAAAATTCATTTGTGAGTGTGTTCCTTTAAAAGTATTTTTTTTTTTTTTTCGTATGCTAGTGCAATTGGTGCTAATCATATTTCTAAAACACTGCGTACTTTACGCTTCTACACAAATATTCGAGTGGATCTCTTATGTAGATCCTGTCCGAACGTTAATACTACTGAGAATGGCGTATTATCGTTAGGGTATAGCGGGAATAAAGCTCTTTGGGCGGCACACGCTACCCTATGCTTTATGTCGTTCTATCTTCGTCAAAATGAGTACGTTCCATTAAACGCAACGTCAACTAGATCGTTAGTTCAGCCTAGGCCATACATTACTATACAGCCGGATCAGGTTGAGGTGACCAACAGCGAACGTGTGATATTGAACTACCAACAGGCCACGAGTGAGCAAAGATTCACGTTCTACAATAGGCAAGTATCTGCCTATAAACTAAATAAAGCGAAACCTATCAGTAGTTCTAAGACTGAAATAGAGTTTCGGGCGTTTGTACGGCCCTAATAAACGCCCAACTAATTCCACCCATCTTCACAGTTATTAGAGAACATTAATTATGGTATATTGGTGTTACTCGAGTTCGTTAAGGTCACTCTAAATATACGTGTGCTTAATTTCCGTAATAGCTTATCGATTGCTGATACCAGCAACTACTGAAAGCTTGGAATTTCAAAGCAAAAAAGCCCGCGCTTGCCGTGGTGTCGTATGGTGTACCTATAAAGTATAGCCCTAAAATCGTAATAGGATAATAGTTTTTCGTAAAACTGCAGCGCCATATCAAAGACATTTGCTTTCGAAGTGATACCGTCCAAGTTTTCGACCAAAAAATTGAGCTAGTGACTTATTGCCAAAAACCTAATTGGTAAATTCTTCGTAAGGACTCCAACGGAAGGTATAGAAGGTTCAACATCGACTGGAGTTATCACGACAGCATTTCCTTGGTTAATTGTAAATATTAAAAATTCCCAAGTGCAAAAGACGCAGGTGCAGCTTCTAGAAACAGAACGTCCACATCAACACTAGTTATTACTCTGACATGACCAGATTCCGCTTCGATTGTGCCATAGGACGTTGTATGTACGGCTTGTTGCAAGCGAACTTTGAAATCGAATGATTTCTAAAGTACGCATCGCGAATCGACGAAGTTTGGCTGGTAAAAGCTCCAGTCTTTTAGAAATGGCGTACACGTCGGTTGAATTCACCCCGGGAGAAATGAGTTGAGAAGGAAAAACACCTTTTAGACTTAAAGCTCGACACTCAGTTATAATATTTTGTTCCTTGAGGATGAAGGCAGCTCATCAGAGACTGCTAAAGACATTAGGCGAGGCAGACTTTAGGAACAGCACAGTACCTAAGTGGGGGCCCAAACACTTAAAAAACGGAGATTGAATTGTTGGGGACCAGCGAACAAGTGGCCAGATGTCGGGACTCGAAGAACAATAACGCATTGCCACAATCGAAGAAGCTTTTCACGAAGCCCAGCCTCGGTGTGTAAAAGCTTTAGTAGCCCAAACTGACATTTCACTAGCAGCATGTTACATAATTGTTACCCAAATTCTGAAAATGTAGGCATTGAGTAAATATCGGGTCCCCAGTAAATTAACTGCAAGACAGTTGGAAATGCGTGTAACGCATCCCGCGTGTAATTTGCGGAACTTGGAGCATACAGTCGCCATACACAGGGCATGGTTCTAACACCTATCGCCAGTCGGAAAAAGACCAAGTGAAAGAATGGAGTCACCCTAAAGAGAAATCAGGCTCAATGACAATGTCGAGTGGCCTCGGACGTAAAGTGATGCAAAGGGCATCAATGATATATTCTATTACGACAAACTCTCTAAAAATGAAACAATTGATGCAGAATTTTTCAAGGGACTCATAGACCCTTTGTTGTTTATTTGATGACAACGCCAAACCTCATGTACCTCAAGTAACCTCGCGAAATTGAAAAGAAATAATATCATTATGATTTATAATATAGTTATGATTATTTATGACGCTTATTTAACTGTTTATAAATTTTAATTTAATATCAAATTTAATTTAATTTTAAAAGTTCAACTTAAACATGAAAACTTGAAGCGAATATTCGGACAACGTAATATCTGCAAATATTAGCATTTCGACTGCAGCCATGATTCGAAATTATTCTGGCCAGACGATATGATTTTTATTTACAAGGGATGTTTTGAAAAACTTTCTTCTAGTAGTTTCTAAAGAAACAATAAGTATAAGTGCATTTTAAAGGATCAGTTTCCGCATCGCTTAGACAAAGGGAGCTAAACACAAAGTCTTTTCAATAACATTATGCACGACTTGTACGTTATTGTATCTACAAGAAAATTTCCAGGACAATGAGGAATTTCCCAATCGATCACTCGTCCGTTGAAGACGAGGTTGCAGATCGTCCCTTGTGTCGCTGTATTCCTTGCGGAGTGATTATGGTTTCGTCGAACGCAAGCTATGCGCACTTCAACAGTTCAAGCCACATTGAGGTACTATTGAGTAGCGCCTTTACTGCCTCCATCTGTTATTTCAAGCTGTGTTTATACCGATGTACGGAAAAAATCATCGATTTACTTCACATATTTGTCGTGTAGTATGTATGAAAACGTACGTATAAGCTATAAAAAAAAAAAAAAAAAAAAAACGTAAACATCTAGACATCCTAAGATACAGTTGAACAATAGTAATATAATATATTGGTATGAGCATAATATTGCGCCATATTTATCACGAAAAACAAAGAATATCGATCTCGGAAGGAAATCACCTGCGTGTGTAGATTTTACTTAATTGAAAGAGTCTACTAAGATTTCGAATTTTACGTCTTGCATTACCGTTAAGTATTACTTCAGACCAGTTCATACAGTTTGGTGCTCTAATAACGTCGGCGTATGCCATCTAAATAAATTCGCTTAAACAAGCAAAAAAATGGCGAGATATAAATTTTTAGCTGACTGATATGCAGTTCGCTTGCCTTCTCATAAAAAAAAAAAAGGCAGAAAAAACAACAATTAACATACATGGCCAAGTATGTTAGAAGTGCAGTACGCGCAAAATCAATAAAAATAGTAATATTCATACTTTGTTTACTGATTGCGGTACTTCAGCGATGAATTTCGAGGAATCGAAATACGCCATAGACGCACATCAAATCTCTGTGCCAATGAACGCCCAGATGAGAGAACTCCGTTTCGATCGAATGATATCTTTTAAAAATGAAAAATTATGACTTTTGTACTGTAGACACTTTTTCTATAGTCGAAAAGAAAATATGTTTCCACAGGCGAATTTATATATATATATAACTGGCTTTGCTAGAAAGCTAGGAAATGAAAAAGCTTCTGCTTTTTTTTTTGGCCACATTTATGGTATCAAATGAGGAGATGAATAAATCATTTGTGCGATCAGCATAACCTTAACAGCAGGTAATTTCAATATACTGTAAAACTTATCGGCCAAAAGTAGCCATTGCGAGAAATCCTGAATACTATGACTCGAGATGCTGGCAATAAATATTGATTTGTCCTTAAAGATGGGTTGTCGAGTCTGGCAATTGGGTCAGAATCTCCTCATAAAATGAACTCTTTTAATCAGCAAATGGAACAGCCTCGCAAGCACTGAAATCGACATATGAAACAGCTAGACCGGCATACTTGGCTTGAAATCAATGTTACCTTGAAGGACTTATTGAAATCCAGCCTAAAATTACTTAGAAGTTTCGAGAAAAGCCGGCATTTTCGATAGATTATAAAAACAAGTTACGAAGTGTTCCATATACAATATGTTACAATATCATCATCGTACAACATACTACTATACTCATGTGATGTAGACGTTCGTCTTGGGTGCGCAATCTAACTACTCATCGGTCTATTTTTACCTGTAATTTTATTTACCTCTCGGTTATTTTAGTAGGTGTAATCAGTGAATGAAGTTAGTTGAACTCGATCTTAGTAGACTGTCGTTACTCCTAGCAGTCTGGTAAATATAACTTTACATATAAATAGCTGTAAGTTTCTTTGAGAACGTAGAGAAAAGTACATTGGGTTATCGAAGTCAAAAGCTAAAATCACTCAGCTTTACGGAGAGTAATTGGTTTCATGGTCGCAGCCATGATCGTTGACCTAGATGTGACGTTTTTTTCGTTAACAACACGCTTCACGCTGTTGCTTTCCGCTAATGCTGAGAGCGAAGATAAAAGGTATTGAAGCAATGTTGCAAACCAGAATACTTGTCCCAAATGCGACTGAACAAGTGAAAATTAAACTATATTCTTTAATGGCTCACCCGGTTGGCTGACCTTTACGATCCGTCGCATGTTGAAAACTAGGTAACAGATGTTTCTGGCTAATGTAAAAAGCTCGAGTGGAGGAACTGCCGCGATGCTGGCGAAGAATGCAGTCTATGGCACATATCGCAGAGCTGAAGAACGCAACTGCCAGACCCGTTTCACGAAACTCTATTGGTTCCAAGCAAGAAATTACTTTGCATGAATATAGTATATATGAAATACTCTTATGAGCTTTTTCGACTGGATTTTGACAAATGAATCATGCGTATGATGACCAGAACAAAATGACGTGTTCCTTTATGCCCTTACCGTTTATGTGAGTAAATCGTCCTAACATGTCTTATTTATATGGCAAAAATTGTACACGCATAACGATTAAGGTACGTCGTACGCTAATTTATCAGAGAAGTTCTATGCAAATCGTAGATCTTGAGTCCTCTCAACGGTCCGTTTTCTTACGGTACTTGATTTCAACTGTATTAAAAAGCTAAAGACTAGTGTACAACCGGATTACTGCTGCCTAAGTAGCCGCAGTATTTGTCATGAGTAGATATGTATTTCTACACAGTTTTGCCACTAATATTAACCCTTCTAGAGTTATTGCAAATAAGAAGGGCACACTTGAGAGCGGCATTATGTATTAACTATATTTAACTGATAGTTGATGTGCGTAGGTAGAAATATGTATACGACAAAACCATGTTTTATGCACGTGTTAAAAAAAAGACGATCGTACTGCAAGACAGATACCACCGCAAGATCAACTGTAGGTTATAGGAAGTATTAAGCGGGAAAGCGAACGACATGTTGCCCCAAATAGGAGGTCCAATGCCTCGACAACGTTTTTACCTGCGGGCAACAATATTAAGTAATATCTCTTATCCCGTGCCAAGCCTTCAGTGTGGATGCTCATACAATGAGCATCCACACCGAACGTATATCGACCCAGAACAAAACGAATATTTGAACTTTTTCTCAAAATTATTACCTAACATTGACATTTTACTCTCATGGCCAAACAAATATGGTATCGTTCCTTCGTGTTAGAACAATGATTGATTTCTTAATGCCCCGTAACTCACAACTTACAAGAAAACAAACATTATAATACTCCTGCTTTCGATTAGGTAAAGATAAATTAGCAAGGAACTACTCTGTCAAGTAGTTGTACCTTTTTCTCATGCCATTTCCCGGCCTTGTCAACCCGTCTTTCGTTTCACTCTAAACGTTGAGGTGATAAGTTAGAAAATTGGTTATATCTAGGTGACTAAATTCCTAGCAGTTATGGGACCGTCCCTGGATCCCGGCCTATGCCTCACTGTATGTCGCTACCGATCGTAGCGCCACCGAAGTCGAGCTGGAAATAACTCAATTGTTTATAAAAGTAACACGGTTTCCGTTCCTCTTGACATTCGCTTCTTGCTGTTCACAAGGAAATTAAGTTAAGGACAGATGGGAACAAAAAGCCGCTTTCAGTTGAGCCTGTCTTCGATCATCTATAGCTACCGGGATCGTTAGCATTTAGATGGCTGGTTGCGATAGGGCCCGTCTAACGTATTGGCTTACTCACCAGCCTGTTTGATACCGGCGTCCAGGGTGACTGGCTAGAAGTTCCCTATGGCCGCTGTAGATTTGTCGTTCTCTATCCCGTACGGCTCCACCCTTTCTTTACATCTACTGGATGACATACATGACATTTTTCTCTTACTACCCGTTTTCCGTCCTGATTTTTTCTCCCTTCTCCCGGTAATGGGTGAACGTTACGCGCAAACAATCGAGACCCCGTCTGTATGCCACTGATTAGTGAGAATTGGCGATTTTTTCGCTGAACACGAACGCTCAACTGAAACAAAGCACGTTTGGTTAAATCCGGCTTGCTTGACCGTCGCGTATCGCAAGAAACACAAATTCAGCTACTCAGGCGGCAGAAGCAGTAGCAAGATGCCGACTGGACGTGAACTCAAAGGTCATAGGTGTCAACAGTTACACAACGGATAAATGAAAAATGCACAGTGAATATGTACACCGGTCTAGGGAAATAATTCTTTTGCTATGGAGATCAGTAGTTCAGTAAAGTATACCTTAACTGACGATGAAATGAGCATCTGCTGTATGTGATGTGCTGCCAGACTGAATATTAGGATGTGGACCAGCAGGCTTGGCTAAAACTGTGACAACTGCTCTGCATAGTCAATGCAGCATCAACGATAGACGGACGCATCTTTCAGTAATTCTAAGCGTCCGTATAGCTTAGCGTATATTTCATCATTCAAACCTAACACAAATACAGTGTAAGGTAAAAATATCGATTCATTAACATTCAGCTCGCCTCCCGGGCTAGTTCAAACTTGTCCTTTTGAAGATATTAGAGGCTAACGCGTAATAGTGAATAAATCACTGAATCATTAGTGATGCCCATGTTCTATTTCACAAAGCTTATATTACGTAGAGGAATGACGCCGAGTAAAACGTGGCAGTGTGAGTGTTAGGGTGTCTGATCAAATAAAGATATAAATAATAGTATATAGAGCTAAGACGAGAGCCAGTCAGAAATAATGTAGAATTTTTAAGAAATTTTAAGGGGCAACCCTGCATCTATCGAACCGTCGTACCCTTTCAACTATACTGTTTCGATTTACCATAATGTTCCTGGTAATTTCGGACTAAATTAGAAGCGCAGGTTTCAAACTAACTTGAATAGAGACATTATGCGCTTTTTGTAGTTTGAGCTCACGTGAGATTCAGCTTGGATTGTCCTAGGCGCTGCAGGCATAGTGGCGTACCCGTACATGTGACAGAAGTAAATTAGTTTACTTCAAAATGTTTAATCAACTACATCTCATTTTAGTTGACGATAGGAAATACATCTAACTACGTGTCGTCGTCAGTCGCTGCAGCCAAAGGAAGTAGCAGTGATAACCGATGGCGGTGGGTACACCAGCGTACATGTTTGCCCAGCCTTCAAACTAAACAGTTTCGGTAACTGATTCACGCACACGCCAGCGAACGCTCAGACCTCGTAATGTGTTCCTTTAACGACATCCGTGGTACGCTGTCACATTATTTGCTCCATTTGAGCTGAGCTTAAAATAGGTCTACTTTTCTATAAAGTAGGCTGCTTTTGTTCCTGAAACGAAACTAGCAATTTGTAGTATTTATTTTTTGGGGAATTGTCATAAGTATATTAAGATTAGCACTTACTAAACATTTTCTAGCGGCTTACATGACCAATGACGTGACTCTGGCTATCCAGTTTAGGCTCAGGCGTATCACTGGGCCGCTGTACACCGTTTTGGCAAACGGTTGTCTGAATTCATAGTCTGAATCGTCTCTTTCCTGCTCAGTTTTCTGGTGTGTTAATATCAGCTTGCTTGTAATTAATATTATTTCCCTACGCATAATTGCTAACAAAATAACGTATTTGGTCTTTAACAACTACTTGTTAAAATGGACATCTTGACGTGTATTATAGACTGTGGTTTAAATGAATATTATACTACGTATGCCTTTAAAGTTATAGGCTGTAATATAGTTACGGTAACTACACCGTACGACATTATAATTAGCTCTTACGCAGACGAGTCTATGCGTTGTAAGTTCTATTCCTAATCAACGTAGACCAGCCGTGCTGTGTCGAAAAGCATGTCTTCAATTAGTTTTTAGCAGGCGAGCATAAGTGGCCTGTTGTTTAGGCTCATGACTGAATCGTGAAAAGTTGTCCAATGCTTCTCTAGCGTAGTCTCTACTACGAGCAGTCCCCATTATTAAAATATTTTTAACTTTGTACACGCATTTTTTGTCAGACTTAGTATTTTACTCTACACCTTATATTTACTGCGTTACATACTCTCGATCAAATGAAACTCGATAGGTCATTAGAACCAGATATTCTTTTCTTGTCTTTTTGCAGAAAGTCTCTTCACTGAACTCGCACGTTGCGGAGTGCATCTCTCGATGGCCAACTAGAAGGTCTCGCTTTGCATACTCTGTAGGCCCTCGTACTCCAGAGGAGGCCATCCTTGCCGATAAAATAATGCGACCAATGCTCGTTTGTGGTGAGCAAGAAAAGTTTCGAGACTTTGCTAAAATAAATGGTCTCCTGCCGGCCGACCCTAGACAACCACTTTATACTGCAATACAGTAAACAAACAGCAGTAAATAACGTGAGAAAATCGTTCAGCCGCTAGATGAATAACAAGATCGTACACCCATTGGTGCTCACAGTGGCTTCAACAAGGGGCGCGAGAGGATTTTTTCCAATAAATATATTTATTCCTTAATTACAATGATTTCAGATGTGTGTTTTGTTTAACTTGTAAGTATAAGACCAAGTCAAATGCCTCTGTCTCATGTAGAACCTTATCGTTCTTAACTATCCGAGATTCGCTTCGGCATCTCATAGATTATCAGCGAACAATTGTTCCATGTTTAAGCAGCCCGTCAATTAAAAGCTTCAGCAATTACCATCAAAACCCAGAATTTTTATTCCACCTCTGATTTATCCAGCCAGCTTGCACTATAGGCATGCCCATGGAGGCTCTTGAAAATTCATATATGTATCTGCGAGGACAACGGGTGTGCCTAAGGGGCTTGTTTCGGAAAAAAAAACATTGAGATATTTCCACACCCAAATCCGAGTCTAAACTATCAACCATATTTCACTGATGCGTTTCGAAAAACATGACGCAAGGCGCGTGATTATTTAGTTACGAATATGATAAATAGGAGTAATTTGGCGATGATGATAACGCTAGCTGCGTACTTTTTACAGAACCACATCCGATATGGTAACCAGCTATTTAGACATTTCGCTGGTAGTCGACACGTCATACGCGCACAAACGAATACGGCATAATCTATAAAACAAATTGCAAGTGCCTACGTGAATTTATACGATCCATCCATCCATCCATCTAAAATGACTATTATCATAATCAAACAACAATAGCACTCTAAAATTACCATATGATATGTAGTAGCAAAGGATGCCAGGTACCATCATGTGGAATTATTATATGCAAGCACGTACGCCTAGCTTCGGCATTGACAGAAGGGTAATCTAGGAGGCTTCTAAGGAATACGTGAAAGCATGATATCGAATAAAAAAAAAACAACACAGTCGCGTTGAAAGCCTCTCTTTATTGATTTTCTTTTCATTTCTATACCACATGTTGTTTTGCTGTGATCAGTTTTATACAATAACTCTACCTTGGAACTAGTACGTGTACCCTAAAATCAATACATACCGAATGGGGGAATCCCGCAAGGAATCACTAAGAAACAACCGCTAATGTTATAGTAACATATCTTTAAAAAAACGTACCACAGCCCATAATTCACCAGTCTTTGCTACAGATTTCTAAATTGCTATTCCATACAGCTGCGAATGTTGGAATGACTTGCGATCAACGGCCAAAAGCAGGCTGAAAGACACGTATGGAAATTACTGCTAATTTATATCGATCCCTCGGAATTTCGAGCCAATTCTCTTGAACTACTGACCTTAGAGGTGATTCCACGTTGGAGACATATGATACACTCAAATCTCTGCGACTGGATGAATATATGGGGCCTACTAAATAGCTAACCCTGGTATGCGATTTGGTTTGTCTACCTGAAAAACTAGAGTTACTCACGTTGGGATATAACCTATACTTATCCGGCAATATAGGTGTATTTCGTTATTATTAAATTATGCTCGTTGATTTTATTGTATATTTTTTACTACATCTATATTTCACTCCCTCTAGTATCCCTTATTTTACTATATCTATCTACCATATTGCTTTATATATATATTTATATAATATATATATATTTATACCATATAAATCCTGAAATTTATAATAACTAAACCAAATCAATCACAATTAAGAACATAAAAATAAGAAAAATCACATAGATCAATATTTTCAAACATACAAAGATGCATAAACGGCCAATAAGCTCGAATTAAGCATCTTGTATGTAATAAGTTCTTGTTGTATCTACTATATTAAACTTTCAGCGTCAGTGAGAGAGAAATATCAAAAAGATCTCTCAATGTTGGTTAAAGATCTACAATACACATCAGCTATTTTGAGAACACGAAATTCCTTGTAAAAATTAAAAATGCTTATTGCAGATACGGTAATTTGCGTCTGTAGGTCTTAAAGGCCTTGTCCAGGACGGATAACTGCACATTAATCGTAGGTATGAAGCTTTTTATACAGGTAGACCTCATGACATAGATTGTGTGCGGACAGTTTGGAGATTTGCGTCAACACGGAAGGTAGCTATAAGTATAATCTCTTGCAAATTTCTATATTATTAAGATTAAGACGTCACACTTATTTTCAGCAAGTGTGACGTCTTAATCTTAAAAGAGACAAACATGGATTTGCATTAAATATAGAAATTACTTCTGTGGTCATCAGTGATTTCGACGATGTAATGATTTGCAAAGTTATTTTTGACGCAGACACAATCACAATGATCCAGTGTGTAGGCTCAATTAGTAGCACCTAATGTCAACCGAAAGAAACTGAGACTGTGTAAACGAATCAACAATGGCGATAAGGTAATCACAAAAGTATTTGAGGTGTGAGAAAGTTATTCGTAGTCCAGACAAACAGTACCATATTTGACAAATTTCGTCGCGGTCCATATCTGACAAATACAGTACATTTTCTTAGAGTAATTGCTTTTTAACGACTTCTATGAAACAAAAAAAAAAATTCCATTATTAAAAAAAGTCGCACAACAGTACAGACAGTAAAATTATAGGTTAAGGAAATGGAACATCGTTGGTTCTTCGTAAACTCTTGTATATAGGCGTCGATTTATGCGTAGAGCATATAACTACATCCAGAATCAAGCATGAACTCATTGAACGGTTCCAGATTGTACCGTCTTAATCTATCTAAGCGCGAAGGCCTTTGCGGTAGAGCAGTATTATATAATAAGATGGCGAAGCTGTCTTCGATTTTACAAATTTAGAGTATCCGAACGCGTTTGGGTTGGGGCAATATCAACATGATGGTGGTGATAAAATGACTACCACCCTGTGGGTTCCCTCTATTACACACGTTTGTATTTCGACCTGTTTCTGTTTCGGGTTACTCCACCTGTTCTGCGCTAGCCGGTCTTCACAAGCAGAAGCTGCTCCGCGGACATCATTTCTGCACTACTTAGGAACGATTTAGTTCAGTTGGTTCTAGCGAATAAACAACCTATAACTAACTATTCACCTTCATCCTAATATATTCGTTTGTCCTGTAATAGTCTTTCAAGGACAGTCGTCTGGAAAGATTGCAACTACTTCCCATTATATAAGCCGCAGATTGCGTTAGCTAAGCATACTGATTTCATTTTCAATAGTGGCCGCTATTTGTGGACAAACAAAAAAGACTTTTGCCAGCCACTAGAAGCCTTTTGTGTATAATCGCGGTCATACTATATCGCGTATGCTTTTACGTACACATACATACCACGTGTGTATATATGTCTATCATATATGTACATACACTATACTGCATGTATGAGCACATGAATAAACATCATATGAATGAACCCGAGAGGTCTCACGAGGCCGAGAGTAAATGCTCGAGTTGCACGTAGCGCCAAAAAGCAAACAACTACATATATCTAGAAGCCAGCGAAATTCGAAAATATTCGAATCCCAATAATTTGAAATTATTCCTATTCCAAATAAGAAAGCATTAATTAAGATGAGTGCACGAACCGCAACGGCATGCCAATACTGATCCAAGATGTGATACATATAAGCATATTGATAGGTTACTAAAGAAACCAGGTGGCACTTAGAGAAGCGCTGGCAACATAAATATTTCATATCATATGCTGAGGAATTTCAGGTTCCGTTCGACCTATACCCGTTACCACGGGCCATGCCCATACGACCATTTGTTACCTAGAGGTCACGCTGTAGGCATTTGTCGATGAACATTACGTTGATGCGCGTTTGCCAAACTTCAGTCTAATGCTTTGATGCTAGAAAAGCAGTTTTGTTTTAGGCGTATTACGCACACGATGAATTACGCTTTAAACATGAAAATTCGTACTGCTTGTGGCTGGAACCACACATGCAGCTTATGGCACAGTTCTGTCATAGTTACAATGGTCTAACGAAATATTGATTCTGCTATAGTGTTCGGCGTATGCTCTATATCCAGCATAAAGCTGAATTCGATAATGACATAGCCTGATTAGCTACGCGTACATAATTACCCCTTATTTACATTAATTTATTGTTCTATTCTTATACACATTATGCAGCCATAAAAACCTATTGATTAATTGTTTCACTACGATGTCCTTTCAGCCTGAGTTACAGAAACATGCCTATGTGATTCCTGTGCAGTTACCTGCAAAAAGGGGATAAGTATACGCCTCAATAATTACAACTGTCTATTTTCTGTTACACCGGAACGCTGTGGTGGATCTGACGAAGATATTATTCGTTTACTTCTGTTTCGTATAAATTGTGAACATGCCACAGTAAGTAGACGAAAAATATGGTAATTTCGTTTTATTTTACTGTTATATATATTATTAATTTTATATATTATTTTTTTATACATTGTATATATTATATATAAAAAAATATAATTAATTTTATTTATTATAGGATAAAAAGGACCACTTCATAAATATCTAAATAGCCTGCGTTCACAGAATCGGTATATGCCAACAACCTTAAGGAAAATTGCTAAATCTCTTTCACATATTTTTACCACATTCTTATAGATCTTTCCTGTAGCAATATTCAGCAAAATGCATTTCTGAAAAACCATCTTAGAGAAATACAATTTTTAATGGCATAAAACTTCAAGAACCTTTGCTAGATTCCTTCGGCACGAATTACTGTGAATGTTTTTAGGGAGAAACAACCTGTTCGATCAAAGCAGCTCAAAGATGTATCTCAGAAGGTCGAGGTATCAGCAACTGACAAATTTCTATTTAAAAATTGCTAGCGAATTTCGAACAGTCATTTTACTTTTTTATAACTAGAAAAAAGTGCATGTGAGGCGAGACTGTATGAAATTTGCTGAACAGGTCTGATAGGCAGCTGGAATTGGATTCCTCAGGACTGAGAGCAAACCCGAGTTATCCACATTGCGGTTATACTTAATTGGGCTCTCAAAATGATTTTACTTCTGGATAGTAATCACTGTAGTGCTCGATACGGTCTTGTCCCGTTAGCAACATGAAGGTGACGCTCGCAGCTCTGTGGTTCTAAGTAAAGCATTGGACGACTGATTATTAGCACTGGCGCCATTCCGTGAAGCGGCACAGTAGAAGCGTGGTGCTCCCCTAACCCAAAAATCCATGGGTAAAAGCCATACTGTGCTAAAACGTTTTTCTGCTTGACAATTTTATAATGTGTAATGTAAATATTAGAACTTCCAATGAATCGATTTAATCAAGTAATGATGCTCGCTTTGTATCGTCGAACATTCTCTGATACAATGCGTGACATCTCTCATTGAGCAAGGACGTTAAGCGATTTATGTAGATATTATAACAGTATAGTGATATGTACTATCTTTTTACTGTCTTAAATGCGCTGAGATGGGAGAAAATTTTATTTTGAAAAATTCAGATTACTCCACAGCTGTGAGCTAGAAAAGTGGCAGTTGGATACAACAACCCACATATGTATTAAGTATAAGTAAAATTACACTTAAATGTAATCGAATTATGTAGATGCATTAACGGTATTTGCGTATGGATGAAACTTGCCTTTTGATTGGTTGGACTAGATCGAGATAAGAGCCAAACAAAGTAGTTTCAAAAAAACCTGTGCCGGTGAATTTCTCATACCTAATATCCGTAATACAATAAATGATTTAAAATTAGCTCCATAAGTATCTAATTTTCTGTGTAGCCTAAGATATAAAAGAAATCTACGTTCAATTATGTATTACTTCGAACTGTTTGTACCTTTTGTATGTATATTATATCAGATGAGGCAATCTGTATAATTACATAAAAATAAATCGCTTCAATTTTGTAACTATCTTTTAACTGAAAAAAACGTTTATTGACTGTCTAAACAGGCGCCAACTTTCAAAATCCAGTACCTACTAACGTGTCTTAAACGACATGTAAATAACATGTTGTATTATTTGAATCTACTTTCTTCCCGAATAATTATTTGTATATCTGTTGGATATATTGTGCCATTTGCAGGTACCATGACCTTCTCGACTACATATTGTTGTGACCGACTCGATCAAGTGGGTGCCTAATGGCGACGCGTTAAAGGCAGCCCAGTGAGAGCGGCGTCAATAACATGGCGCCCTCCACAGTCGTGTTTTCATTCGATAATTCAAATTTGTTCAGTTGGAGGGAAGTGGCACCGTTATGTTTTAGTTAGTTTTTTTTAGGCTGTATGCATTTAATTATACTTATAATTGGTTTTCTTTACCACTCAGTTACGTTGTGTTCATCACATTGTCTATGAAAGTTTTTCACCATTGGAATAAGTTAACTTATTTGTGTTAGCTTTTCTATGTGTGTGTTTATGCAAGTCCCTGAAATATACTTCACTCCGCACCGCAACAAACAGCAATGTCTTATTAGCAGTCATTTTTTGTTTTTCGTCACTCGCGCTGACGTTCACTTTGTAACTCAGACAACACTAAGCACTACTCAATGGATAAACTAGATAGCGCACTTCGGCAAGATCTATTGAAACACGGTTATGAGGTACGTTCGTCCAGCTGTGCTTCCGTCATTAAAACATTGCTTCAAGATTTAAATAATTTCAAAGAGCAAGCCGTAGATAGAGATCATCTTCTGCGACAAAATGTCGAATATTCGCAGAATGCTATGCATTACAAACTACAGCTGGCCGAAAAGGAAGTCGAGCTGACGAGCATCAAACGAGCAGCCGCTGAGGAAAAGCAGGTTTACGATGAGCGTATAGAGTTCTTTGAGAAACAAATCCAGGGACTTCCCCGAAGCAGTGTCCTGCAACGTGTATGGGATACGGATATATCTAAAGAACATTTGAATTTGTTGCACTACGCTGATCGGCAGCTGCACGAGTTACAAGAAACGAATAGAAAACTTATCGGTGATCTCGACAGGCAATTTCTCCAGACCGGTGTTTTTCTGACGAAAATAAAAACTCGCGATATAGAGATTCAACGGCTGACTGAGCTAATTAAGAGCGGTAAAGTAAGATATGCGGCAGGCGGATCCGACGATGTAAACAATGCCCCCAGTAGCGGCCTTCAGCTGAGGCTTCTAGAAGAAAAAAATACTGAACTTCAGCGCACTATCGAACAACTTCGAGCTATTCAGAAATCTGCCGGTGTTAAGTCAAGCACTGCGTCAATAGTGCCCGAACTCGACCTTCGAAAGCAGCTCGAACTTGCTGAAGCGGCCCGAAAAGAGCTAGCTGTAAATGTGGACCGTTTGAACTCAAAATGCACCTCATTGCAGGGAGTCATCGCTCAATATAAACACGAAATTAACATGATTCGTATGGAAAGGAATGACTATCTCCATCAACTGCAAGAGCTCCAAAAGGAGTCGGTGGCAGCATCCAGTTTGATTGGCAATCCACAACAACCTCACTACCATTCACACGATACCTCGACCCGACCGTTTACATTAGGTCAGAAACGAAATGGATTTCTAGACGAGAACGGTAATGACGAGAATTGCAGGACAAAAGAGATGCCGCACGATAAAGCAGGCCATCAGAAAGACACTGCGGGTCATCGAAGAGAAGGGCACGGCAGTAGAGGTGTGCTGTGTGACGATAACGGCGAAGAGCTCTCTAACGAAATGCTTCTGGAAAAAGTCAGCCAGTACGAAACTAAGTTTAGTAGGCTTTCAGAAAATTTACGCATGTTCCGTGACGCGATTACAAAAAAAGATGTAGAAATAATTAACCTACGCGGTCAAGTCGCACTCATCTCGAGAGCTCAGGAGGACAACGTAAAGCTTCGGAAAGAACTCGCACATCTAGACGGCAAATCTCGCGAATTGAAGGCTGAAATCTACAAACTCCGTCAGCAAATTCGCAGCTATACGACCCAAGCAGCAAAAGCAGCCGAATTGGCAGCGTCGGGTGAACAACACAAGGGAGCGACAGACGCAACTGCTGCATCAACTGTGGCTCGGGGCTCAGGAAGGACCGAAGAGATCCCGTCAGTTCAAGCGCCCCCCCTGGTGTCTGTTGTTAATAAGGCTACAACAACAACGGCATCGACTGGGAAACTCATCGCGGATACACACGTACCTTTTTCAACCGGGTCATCAGGCTATACTCCTGCGATTGGTCAGCGAGAGCATGCGGTTGGTTTCCAGGACGCTACAGCTAGCGGAAGTGGGAGCGAAAATGCGTCGATGAAAGATCAGATCGCGTTACTCACGCACATCGCCGAGGAATCCAAGGCCAGGCAAGTCCCAGCACTGACCCGAACATGGCTATCAACAGCTGATGAATTATTCATAGTGTACATTTTCAATATGTATGCCAATGAAGGCTAGCTAATATATATATATATATAGATATAGATATATATCGAACTCACTGCAGTGAGTTCTAAGTAGGCTAACTAGAGCGAATTAGGTATTGGTATCAGACATGGGAAAGTTTGCTGTGTTAAGCCTCAATGGCACGGACTAAATAACAAAGGGATCCATCAATATAGCGGATATTAATAGTTTTATAGATGAAAACATCTGAAGCTAACTAGAGAAGTAATTTCAAATATTTTGTTTTTAAACAAAATCAATATTTTGCGACTTGTATGTAAGGCCAGTTATGGAGGATGACAAGTAGCTATACAAGTGGAGTAGTGTTTTGGGTGGGGTTATTCTCGGAGATGCATTTTAGTTTGTTCAGCGAGCTTGGACGTCCAGGTGCACTCGATTTGTCTTAGTCCAATCTAGTATTATTCCTATACAGATCTGTTTCGTATCTATCGGCTTAGCTAGAATTGCTAAACAATAACGCCTATTAAACTGTACGAATGCCACTTCATTTGAAACCAACCCATAGTTCATCCTTAAAGTGCATAATGTTCCATTTACTTTTCAGTTCGAGTAACTCCAAGAGAATTCTTTGTGTCTCTAAAGCTATTTACTCTATGTGAACAAATTCATGAAATGGCTTCCTTTAAAAGAATTGCAACAACTTACTGTGGCTCACGTTCACAGTGTGAGCTTTGTAGTTTAGCATAATGGGATTGACCAAGTACAAATACAGTGAAAAGATAATATGCACTCGTAAACGTTGTCAATGGCAAAATTTGTTGGCGAAGCTATGGTCGATTCTCGCGAGGGATGCGCCAGCAAACTTCAACTACCTCAGTTTTAATGGTCAATCATCTCCCACCTCTGCCGATAGGTTCGTGCTGTTTAAAAATTATCAGCAGGAGGTAATCGGTATATTGGCTAACCGTTATATTTTTGCCATTGTCACGGATGCATAGTGCATCATATGGCTTATGTAAAAGAGGGCTGTTTATATTTATTAAGTGTATCATATTTGCCTTGTACCAGGTGTTGTTTATGTCATAGAAACTCTATAGGGTAGGGAATGCGATTGCTTGTACGGGTTAGCTATTAAATCACTTCGTTCCACACTACTATTGCACGGTGTGTCCATCGGGAGATAGCTTCGACCAGGACTAATATCGCCGACGGAACGAAACGCAAGTTGTAATGGACACGCAGCCTACACCTGTACTTGTAGCCGGCTTGTGTACAAGCGAAGGCACATCCCTTTCAAGTAAAGCATTGCGTTTTACAAGTCAATCTTCCCCTAGCAGGCTTGATATACCAACTGTGATACGCTTGTGGAGCTTTAGGTATTAGGTAGTACTATATTGGGTGCTCTCTCGAGGGGCATACTTTTGATAGAGTTACGGCGTGTTGTGCATTGCATGCAAGCTAAATCGGCAAAAGGTATCATTGATATGTCCGTCTTTTAGGTACGTGTAACCGATGTAAAGAATTGGTGTGAGTGGCTGCTTTGATGGAGATCGTAGGGGTATCGTAGCTCGAAAACAACTTACGATAGTATTCATATGGCTTAACTTCTAACATTTCACAGAAATTAGGTATATAAACACCGCGTATTGATCGCAAGGGATCTGTGTATGGTGTGGTAAAGCTGTTCGCCAATAATAAGACATTGAAAACATGCGTTATTCGAGTGTATGGTAGCGTGCATTCATAAATGTTTCTTTAAGTGTGCCCAAAATGATAATGTAAATAGTCCCCTATTTATTGAGCGGACGATTTTATCACGGCAATAGACATTGTAGTTTGCGGTTGCCTATTCCATTTGATGAAACGGATTACGTTCATCTATTTAGTGAAGGATTACCAACGTATTGGCTAGCATTTTTAGAACTACCAATAATTCATGCATTTAAGAGGCTATAAATTTGCGTTTATTAATCTCTGATGAAATGATTTCATGAGAATTTTAAAATTCTATTATCGTTTATTTTATACTATTCCAGATCCACGACTGAAAAGACTGACATTTGCTCGGCTAATTCTAGTTAGTGTTGTAGACTGATGTCTTTATGTCAATTATACGCACTGATATTGCTATGGATAGGCGAGAAAGAGTAACACGCTTTGGCGGTTTTCTCCCGAATAACAACTACTTCTTTTGAGGATATATATGTACCGGCATTTTTGGTGAAGACTTGTAGCGTTTTCTATTTAAGCATCGTATTAGAATTGATTTCCTCGACATGAAGTCAACAATAATACGACACGTCGGAATCGACTGTTGCGAATGAGCGTCCTTTTAAATCAAGCGGTAAGGACTAAAAGCTCAAAGTGTTACCAAATGTCGTGTGCGAGTGGCAACCGCTTGATAAGGACGTGCTGACATGCGCTAATAATTAAGTTATACGCGGTTTAACTTGCTTCATACAAAAAGCCGCATGAATAAATGTCTATAGAAGCGCCATTTCGTTTTTTATTCGACAAAGTAAAAGCTGAGCGTTTTGTTAGATTCCATGGTAAACAATTATTACTGGTTGGTTAACAATAGGATTTTGTTTCCAACGCTTTGTTCATGCCAAATATACTGTATAGACACAATGTAAAGGGCCTACTATACTTCTAAAATCATCGTCTCGGCTTCGGACAAATATGACAGATTGTGAGCCACACATGATTCAATAAGAATAATTACAATCGCTGAAACAGATGAGATTTTGTTTCTTTCATACAAATTTTCGATTCTAAAGCGGTTTGTTTAATCAGTCTTTCTTAAAGCGTGCATTTTTTGATCTTGTTAATAAACTGACGCATGCGATAACGACAACATTAACAACAAAAACGCATCAGAGAGTTGATTTGAGCTCGATTGGTCATGAATAGTTTGTTTTGAAGGGTTCAGGTGGCACCTTTTGCAAGAAGCATCAGGTGATGGATCGATAAACCTTTGATAAATGTTTTACCATACATCCCACAACACAGCTTTTAGAATTTCAAACATATACGCCAGAAACTAAACTTTCTTACATTCTTGGAGTTTTCAAGGGTGTAAGTTCCCCATATACGAGGTTCTTATTTAATTGTCAGGTTTCTTCCTTTAATGTTTGATTGTAGAGCCAACCTGGAAGCGTTAAAAAGGAAGCAGGCCGAAAGCAAACTACAACTATTTGAGCGAATGCAACAACAACAGCAGGAACAACAACACCAAGAAGAACAGGCTCCGAAGAGATTTAAAGGAACAATTCGCATCGGACAGATAAACGGCGAAATTGAACTTAGCCCCAATGGACTGTAACCTGTATACTACGCACGTATTACAGGACGTGGGAATAACCCTGAAATCGAAGTGACACGTTAAAAGTGTGAGAGCTCAACTCCTCTCCTGTTACCCTAATATAGCCAATGCGTTTTCTATTACACATTCTACTGGTTATATGCATTTTAATAGCAACAGGAACATATGAAATACACTAGGAATTAAATATCGCGGTTCTCTGCGGAGTTAAAGCAGAGAATTCTTGCCTTCGGAGAACAACTGCAGCTAAGTGGTGAGTTTACTATCAGTTGAACCCACTGTGGTGCCATTTATTGCAAAGTCTTTATGGCACTTCGCTCTAGCGGATATCGTTAATGACTGACATTCATTCCAGACGCCGCCTAATGTGCAGGTAATCGTTTCTAAGTTGCTTCATCACGGTATTTCTCAGAATTATCCAGCTGGTGAAGATGATTGATACAGTTTATTCGTATTTGGTAAAAATAATTTTGAGGTTAACAGAAACATTCGTGCTCTGTCTACTCAATTATCTATATGCACAGACATTCTGAAAAATACCATAGATGGGCTCTGATAAGATGCTGAAATACGGATTTCATAATCGGTATCGTCAAATGCGTATTTCGTTCCAGTTTGCATCATTGCCGTGTCAGTATAATGCATTTTATTTGTTAGTCCGGTTTTAGGTTACGGATAGCTGCTGGTTGATCGCAATCCGACGATAAGTTGGCTAAACTTACTTATGATCTCATTAATTAACTCATTAATCTGATAATAAATACGTGACATACGTGGATAAAAACGTTGTCATTTATACGTCCTGCCTCTATTGGGAGTGTACTTTTCTATTTTGTAAAATTACGTGCATCGCGTAAGGCGTTTCAGGGTAGTGTCTAATGTGACAGCATAATAGTTTAAGTTATGATTGTATTATCTACGGGACTATCAAAATTCAGTGTTCCCTTTTACAAAAGGCCATCATAGAGATTCTGCGTACGTATTTGTTAGGCTAATTGTATGAAATATAGTCATTTTTTTCGTTCTCGTCGCAGTTGGATTTTTCTCCCCACACATTGCGTTATCAGGTCGTTTTTCTTTTCGGACACGGTCTATGGCTGAGTGCTAAGTAGTACGTTTCGTTTTTATACCGTTGCACTTGAGTAAAGCGTACTATGATGAAGTCTTCGTTAGCTACGATACGGGCGATGGTGAACACAACTGTATCCGAAGCATTTGTGAGTTTGTATGCAGACATATGGGTGTTCATGTGGCTGTTTCGTAACAAAAGCTTTACGCCCCACTACCATCACTCGGGAAGATGTGTCTCAATGCAGTTTGCCTAATCAAAAACCAACTCTAGCAACTCAACGTTTTTTGAATGAATGCTTTCTACAGGGATCAGTTAATGAAGTTCCTACTGGGACTCATACACAACGTAAGCTTTTCTCTTCTAAGAGCTGGGACTTCGCTAATGTACAGTAACACAGTAAGTACCAATTGGGAGAATATTTCAAGTGGTTAGTTGTAATGATACTCACAGTAATCAAGCGTAATCGTGTGTTGAGGTGAAACACAGATTAACAGCTCTGATGACAATATATTCCGAGGAGGGCTTGTTGTACCGTAATTCTAACAATTGTGTCCTTCAAATTGTATTAATTTTTAGTGTTGGATTAACGCTGTAATACATCCAACTCAGAGTAGCAATGGTAAAAGTTTGCCCAATACTGAGATTGGCGGAGTCATGTAAGTTGACGTATATCTACTCACTATAATACCAGTGTTTTATAATTGCTGTTCATCCTACTTAGGTGTATTTTTTGGCGGGGTCGTGGCCCGTGCCAGTTGGTCGCAGGAATAGCGTCATGCGTTTGAATCAATTTTTACTAGTTGTAATAGTATAAAGCGCTCTAAAGCTAAGACATTCGAATAGCAATCTTACGTAAGCTGTTCGCTTTGCGTCTGAGCCCTGTCAAGCGAAGGTCGGTCGCCGCAGTCAACCGTTTGCAATAGCACATAATTTTCCAAGAGAACCCTCTATAGTTGAAATTAACGATGGACCGGATTTTTTCCACTTTACTTGGTAACCTTTAACGTAATGCTTTACGTAAATTTATGGGCTGTTTTCCTGCTTCCTGGATCATCGTTTGTTGAAGTAAAGCCCCTACGGGGTGTCATGTCAACGAAAGCACGCTCTCTACTAAACCTAGTCAAAAGGTCGCACCGCGTTAATGATGTACCAGCTGCAAGACGCTTTTTTCTAATCCTTAAATCTGATAGGAGTATACAATAGATTAATTTGGCTTTCTTTTCTAATATGCTTTTACGATAGTACTGACAAGTTTGATTCGGACTTATATTCTTAGCCTGGTACTGTGCGACCAAAAAAAGGCCGAACTAGCGAAACGCGTGAACGTGGAACAACATTTTTGCTATCACTATGGCAGTAGTGCTATATAATGTTACGATCATGACTTATTGGACTAACCAATAAATAAAACATTTCATCCTCAGTGGTATGAACATTGCAGTCTTTAGAAATAAACAAATCTCTTACGATTTGTTGTTTAAAATCTACAGTTTCCCAGGTTACGTACAGTAATTTCAAAACTTTGAATACCTGATGCGCTCATGTGGATTATTCGCGCTTCCGAGTTATGGATCAAAGCAAGGTGTAAACATGTATAATGAATGGTCATTTCTTGCTGGGCAAGTCAGTACGTTTGCTAATTAAAAAATACTTATAGTAATAGATTGCTTTTTAACTATGTTGCCTTTCAAGCATCGTCAGGATACCCCACGCATGGTTTCACTGCAAAGGAAATGTGTAGATCAATTGAAGCTTTTATCTTACTTTAATTAAGTAATCTATGAGTATCCCAAGTTACTGTTGATATAAAGTGATTAGAAGGTAGCTGGTACGTGAGCCTTCATATCGTATATGGCATATTGTTGTCGTTATAGATAATTAGTGTATGCAATTTCAATTTAAAACATCATTAATTATATGCTGTTTAAAAAATGCAGGAGGCGTATTTTGGCATTCGAATTTAGATTTTTCGAGACTGAGCGGAGTTTTCCTATTAATTCACACCATGCTACTCTAGTAAAAGCTTGGTTCGAATTAATCTCACATACGACTATATTAACATATGCGATACTGTGTAAATTACAAGCTGTTTTTAAAGTCTTCTTTTTTGAATGCCGTCTATCCTTTTTTGTATCGGATTATCCTTCCGCCACATCTTCTTTCTGTGGCTATCTGCTTATATCATTTATATCAAATGCCCCAAGAGAAGCTTGCTGTCAGAGTAATTGTGTTAGTTTAAGCGAGATCAGCTTCACTAACCGTTTCGAATTCAAAACATGAAGAACCAAAAAGACATAAACGATATTCAATATGAAAGTTTGAAGGCAGGTCAAGCAGGACCACAAGCGTTAATTTTGTTGATGATCTTGAAATATGACCTTTAAAAAAACAGGTGACGTAACATGGTGGACATAAGGCAAGTGTATTATCTTGATATAACAAAGTATAACTCACGCTGTCTGGGGTAAAACGCAAAAAAGCGACTTGAATGATGAAAATAATATAACCCTATCCCACGAACACGAATGTGATGCTGGACTATTTAAGTTTTAAACGAGTGAAAGTGACTGGATGAATTAATTATTTTGAAGTGTATATGGAGTTTCACAGTAATCATTGTATCTTTTTGTCTGGAAGACATCACCATCTTGCTGACGCTGTTTTCTCGCTTGTGGAGCAATTACTTGAATTCTCAGTGTGTTATCTTCAGGGCTTCATCTTGCATGCGTCTGCTAGATTCATTTTTCATGCGGCACGATATCTGTACAGTCTCTGCACGATTCCGCTAATGTTGTCTTGGTAGACTTCAAATTCCTCTTGAGTTGGGCACTTGAAATAGAAATTATTCCATAGAAATGATGCCCCTTCGTGGCATAATGTTGAGAAATTTGTTAAGGCTAGGTCAATGATCCAGGATACGGACTAATACGCAGTATTATCAGAAAGAGGTAGATAACATGTGCTATAAGTGTTTTCCCATATGCAACATCGGGTCTTTATAAAGGTGTCTGAATTTCATGGTCGCACCACTGCTAAAGAGCGTACAACGAGAGAATCACTTACCTCAAGTTTTTTTTTCTCAACTATTTTGCAATTACTCAATTTGGTTTGACAGATTATGTATTTAGTCATGGTAATGGCGTAGTTTGTATCGAGTATGCGCGTTAACTTGACACACACTTAGTAGTCTGGATTCGAACTTAAGCGTGAACACGGGTCACATCGTGTTGTAAGCCAACTTTCTGGTGAAATAGCTAATATACCAAAATTACTAAGTTTAATTAAAAAGGTAAAATAATTTAAGCATGTAATAATGTTCTAGCATACAGATTTCTGTTAAATGTATAAGTTGCGTACAAATATTTACTAAATATTGCAGCGACGTTTAGGAAGTGGTAGAATCTTGTTATTCGAAGTAATTGTCGAAAACGAATGCTTTTTATATGAAATAAAGCACGTTTCTTTGCAAAAACATTTTGCTAAATTATTGTCACACCTGTTAAGAAGATGCTGTGCCATTATGAGCTGTCACAATTGCGTACTAGTTTATATTGATGGATTCTGAAGTAGCAACTGTACTAGAAACCATAGAGGAATAAAAGCCAATTTACATATATTCGGTGTAGTTCAAGATTCTTCATTCAGACTATTCAAGATTTAGTCTGATTTCGCTTCTAACGTGCGTTATGTGTTGTCTCGTTCACTTTTACTAGCAACAGATAAAACACGAATGAGTTGAGCTTGTTTACCTAATAGTTTTTATCACATTCGCATCATCCCAAATCCACCCCAAACAGTTTCATGAGCTAAGATACTCAGAGCATCGAATCATTAGTTCCGTTGCAGTGGTCTAGAGCCATATAATCTTATGAATGGTTTGTCCATATGACATACACGAGGAGGATTTCATGGAACAAAAAATAGAAGCATGAAGACTGTGTTGCTCTTATTGCTGTCGTTGCTAGTAATCCTAACTTTTTTCGAGGGCTGAAATTATTCAAAATGTATGCCTCCGCTTGAGGCTAGCACTTGCGAGACAGTCGACGCTGAATATATTTTGAATATGTTGCGGGTGAAGGCTCTAATGCTATTCAGGATGGCCAGATGCCACTAGACAGTTAAGCTAAAATATGAATTTAGCTGGGACTCATCCACCGGGCTTCGTGGACGTAAATATGGCGCCATGCGCCTCCCAAGAAGGTAGTTATTATTAGCATCATCATCCTACACGTGACGTCCAGACACACAACGTTTTTATGCTGATCTAGGCCATTTGTTTATCCACGTAATCCGTTGTATTTACGTGGTGCTTACTCTCAATTGAACAAAAGTTATCTTGACCAATCACCCTCTATTGCATCTATTGCTGACGAAAGCCGTTCCAGACGAGCTTAAGGTACAAGTAAACCGTATTAATTTTAATAGGATCTATCTCTCTGCTGTTAAAGGATCAGTAGTTGTTTGTCAAGCTTAAGATTTCGGCCCCGACGTCTATTTAAAACGTTATATTATTCTTCTGAATAATGGATAGGATTAGCTAAATTAACATAGAATTTTATCTGGAAAAGGCCCTTAAGGGGCTTGGCCTTGATAAATAAAAACGATTCCCTAGTGTTTTTCAGGAGTATAGTTTATGATAAAATCAGGAATCCGACACTCATTTAGGAAACAAGTTGTTACCAGGGGCTCCTCGTTTTAGTCGTGGAAAAATCCTAAAAACGAGTATAATACAAAAACGAGGACTAGAAAAAGTATTTTGTAATTTTCATGGTTCTATCAAACTTGACAACGCAAATTATCGTCCCTGATCGATCATCGGCGACAAAAATTTATAAACTATGTGCCAATAAGGAAAGAATAAACAACGGCAAACATTCTGTAATGCATAGCAGCAAGCATAATGTCAAAAACGTATCTGTTTGAGTGATCGTTATTGACGTTTGAAATATCTCGAGCAGTCAGTACAGACGAAACAGACTGCAAAAAAGTTTAACAGGTTTGTTAGGCAATACTAGACCATCTAACTAGATCTACATAGATATAAACCGCACTAAATATACGACAAAATTATTCGTTCTGTAACATGTTGGACATAATATTGAAATATATAGACGTTGATTTGCCGTGCTATTGATTTCCATAACGACTTTTTTCCTTTGATCAAAAGTACCTTTTACCCTTCTACCATTGCTGATGAGCAAACTTTCTCGGTGATACCGGGTTCCGAATACGGCTATTTCTTTTGCCTATCACTCTCATTTGTGTTCCATTGCCAAGCGAATCGTTTGAATCGATCCAAGTTGCGCGAATAATTCGGTTGTTTACGGTGTCGCAACCACTCCAAAAAGCACGCTTTCTAAATTAGAGGCTCGCTCACCTAGAACGCTATGAGCCGCTAAATTAACGAGTATTTAATTAACAGAAGACATCCGCATTTTCAGTACACAGAATCAGTGTTTCCGTCACAATTAAAACACTGACTCTGTGTACAATATTCACTAATAATTGCGATAGCCTTATGGAGTAGTTTGGATTGAAGAACCAGTTTCAAAAAAATTGATTATTCAATTACGGTTAAGTCTGTAGTTTGTAATTTTAAATAATGTTTTGGTAAAGTAAATAATCATAATAGACTAAGCCCGAAAGAAGACTTAAGGTACGATATGCAGAATTGCGATTCAGTTTTAAGAGAAAGACTCGAGCTGTGCGAGGATGGTCTTCTGATCATACGCCTTTATTTATTAGAGAGGCAAAAAATGTGCATGGACATTGCCGGCAATTTTCTGAATTACCGATAAAAATAAATTTTTTAGGCTAAATTACTTTTCTCGAGTAGAAGCAAGGAACTGAAATGATGTAGCCCATAGACGCTAATATACATGTGATTAAGCCACAACACATGATTTGACTATATTTATTTTATTAACATTTTTACTGACACTGTACAGTGATCTTGCTAAAAATGTAATTTTGTGAAATAATGGCAACCAACAATAATTGCAATAAAGATTGCATGTATATTAAACTGACAACATACCATCTCTTCTCACCACCAGAGTTGCCTTTTAGCTCTAGCGATTACCTGGGCCTTTTGTATGATTTATAAGTCACGTTGATATCTACTGAGAGCAGTGTCTCCCATACCTTAGATGCCCTTATCATCTCTTTGTTAACCAAACATTTCGAGTTGGCATTTTTTAGCAGTATCAGAATAGGCAGTATGCTAAAGTAGAATGTGGTGCTTCTGCTATACCTGTTTTAACAAGCATACCGTACATACCACTGGGTCATACGTTCTGAGTTCCGTTTGCATTACTCTGATGAAGAACATTTATGATTTTCACTTCTTCAGTCAGGTTGGTTCGCATTTTTGGAACGTTAGTGCGTATCGTTTTGCGTTACGTTACTGTATGATAGATTAGTTCTAGCTTCGACGAATGTGTGACTGCAAATTAGAAGCCTAATTATATAATACAGTAAGTCATTTTTTCATTCTTTTTTTTAGTATGCTATCGCAAAATTTAGATGGCTAAGTTCCTGGTTGAAAGTGGCCAGGAGTAGCTGCCTCGAGTCCTGCTAACAACGTTGAAAAAGACAAGCAACTTGTATGATGCAAAGTAAGTTATTACAATTTGCTAGAGGATTGGCAAATTAAAATATGCATGACATTTAATGGTTTCTTTAGGACAACTACAGAAAATACGCTGATTCGTACTACTATAAGGTACTTTTAAAATATCACGACAATCGTGAAATTGCGTGGATTAATAAAGAGGAACGCATGAATTGTGCTATGTTTGTTTAATAGATGATTGCAGATCATTATGCGTAAGGCTAGTTTGTGAATCAGTAACACCAATATTTCCTTTTTTGTAAGACATGCTATTATATACACATGGTTTGCATATATCAGCACTATAATATTAATATTCTATAAGTGTATTCTATCGTAACGTAAGCATCACATGGGAAGCGTTAAGGTTGACTGTTATCTCTCTGAGTATAATGTTATTGTAAGAACTCTTATTCCGCATGAATGTGCCTCAATGAAGATCCTGCAATCAAATTGCGGCTACCAGCGAAGACCATCAGAAAAAAAAACTCCCTGGTACCATATCCAACATATATTTATGAAGCTACACGAATGAGATTAACGATCTTTTGGTGGAGAGCGGAATACGGTTGGCTTACCGTCACGTACCGCGGTGGTATGAGTGACCACAGATTATTGTAACGGCTTTTCTTGGTACTTTTTATATGAGCATGACACGACGATGCGGGTATCGATGCAGTGCTATTGTTGTTCTTGCTGTTGAAACAGTCACTGACTGCGGTTCATGTCGATGTGCTGCAGTTTTCGCGCTTTTCTTCGTCGTCGTTGTCGATGTTGACGATGACGATGATGTTGATGATAGTCTTCGTTGCAGAAGCAACGTATTCAACGGTAAAGAATATTATTACCACCATTATAATTAGTATAGGAGACCGGGACTGGTTGACTGGCGGAGCCCGCAGTACCAGTGTCATTGGAAGGGTATCTTGAAAGTAGGATAGATTTGCTTTTATCAACAGTGTCATGACATGATTGAGAGTTCTACGGCAGGAGCAACAACGACCGTGGCAACAGCAGGTCCGTGGTGTATATAGACTACGCGTAACCATAGATCGCCACTTCGTGAGCACAAGGATCGTTATGATTATTATTACTGCCTAGGTGTAAGCAAAAATCTGCTCAAAATTTTCCATCTCCGCATTAGTCAGATAAAAAAATATTACCTAGTTGTCAAGACAGTTTACCATAAGACTAATATTTCCCATTATACATTGTCGGTAAATATCAAAACTAACAAATAAAATATATAGTATGAACTTGAATAACTTTTCATTTGATTACACTTTTAGCACAGTATGCGTACATGATTTATGCACTTTGCAGCTAAATAATATTTCTTTCTTTTCACAATGCCTAGCCTGGACTTAGTTAATAGGACGATCAGAGAAGACGTAGATGTATAATTTGGTTACGTTCTTCATATGTACCGTTTTACTTATCTAGGGAATACCAGATATGGTCGTTTATCTTGTTGAATATCCTTTTGTGCCGTCTTTGGCTAACACTTGTATGTCTGTCCACGCCCTGTAGCTATATCGATCAGCTGTTCTCAGAAACTTCTTTACTTAAAGACCACGTGATTTCTCGGTCGATGGGTGTTTGTTACCTCATGATGCGATCTCTGTTTATAGGCTGTCTAACCTGGTAGCCCCTATTGTGTAACACGGCGTACTGTATTTTCGGAAAAGGACACTAAGAATGTTGTCCCATCGAACGTTTCGCGTTAGACCTTACGTATCGTACTACATCCTCGATGGATCTGCAACAGCTCTTCCAGGCGGCGTTCTTGCCACTCTATATAGCGCTTTGTGACCTCGTATCGAAATGATAATCAAGAATCTCGATCATCTTTTTGTTTATATCTGTTTCTTATCCACTTCGGCTCATTGTATATATCCTGAAGATCCA